GGCATGTACCTCGGTTGCGAGCACATCCCCAGTAGGAGGTGTGCAGGAGGCGGCTGGTCGATGTTTCTCTCTCATCGATGTTTCTAGCTCTCTATCCCGCTCCCTTCCTCTCTGTAAAAAATCAATAAAATATTTAAAAAAAAAAAAAAAAAAAAAAAAAAAAAAAAAAAAATAAAATCCTGATTTCTGGCCCTCATCCTCCGGAAATTCCGTTTCTTTGTTATGGGGTGGGGCCACAACATTAGTAACAAAGAGAGAGAATTTCTGGAGGATGAGGCCCAGAAATCAGGATTTTAAAAAGATTTCCAGGTGATTCTACTGTGCAGCCAAGGTTGAGAACCTCTGATCTAGAAGATTAGCTCCAGAAAAATCAAAGACAAAAGCCTAGGGCTCCAAAATCCCCACAGATGTGCTTGACCGGCATGCAGAGCTCTCCAGGGAGCCTCCACCTGGGTCACTTGCCCATAACCTCCCTTCATTGAACCATCTCATCCAGAAGACACCAGAAGAAAAGTATGCAGCCAGAGCCTAGAGAGGTTGAGGCTGTCTGTCACCTAAGGTCTGAGCACAAAGGTTTCTCCTTAGAGGAGAAACACAGATCACAATGACATGGGCCTGAGGCCCATTTGCAGCATAAACCTAAGGCTTAGAGTCCTCTTGGGATTGGCTAGCCAGCCACTGCCTGGAGAGTTGGGTACACTGAGGCTGTCCCACACCAGCACTATCACCCACAGCAAAATTCAATCCCTGCATTTCTATTTCCTTATCTGTAAAATGGAATGGTACTCCAAACTATCCCCTAGAGCCCTTGTGAGGATTAGCCAAGAAAACATGATGAAAAGTGTCTGTAGCACTCAGCAGGAAGTCTGTAACTGCTTTGTATTCACTTATGTCAGTATCTGGAAAAAAAAAAGTATAAACATCACCCTGGTTCCTGTCATACCACCATGACAACTGGCACCAAAGCACTTCTCAACCCCTCTTTAGGGCCAAACTACCACCCTAAAAACCAGCCCTACTTCACAAGTGGTGAAGTGAGAGGGCATTGCTAGGCCAGAAGGAGGTCTACGAGAGTGCTGTGCACTTCCCTGAACCACAGCATTGTTCCTTTAGGGCCAAGGACACCCGAGGGTAACAAATGTGTGTCTCTCTCTCTCTCTCTCTGGCCCAGCTACAGGCACTGCATGGTATCCTGGCAAGGCCAGACACCTGAGGCACGGGCAAGAGGCCAGGTGGCAGGGGACCCAGCTGGCAGCCCAACCTTCCCCAGAGTCCACAGAGCGGGGCTGCAGGGATCAGAACCCATCAATGAGGTGCACCCATGAATGGGCAGAAGTGGGCCAGCTTCAGTAAGGGGCTCCATTTACAAGATCTGAACTCCACACAAGTGTCTACTAGTCTTTTTACCCAGACTCATTCAGTCCTGGTCTCCAAAATCAAATGGCCAGGGCCCCTTCTCTGTCTTTTACCTTTGCTCCAGGCCTCTCAAATCCCAGCTACTTAATGAGATCTGGCTGACCCACCCTCAGGGGCTAGGGTTATCAGGTCCTCAGCATTCCTGCCTCCATCCCTCAAAGACCTGAGACACCATGGACTAGGCTCTTGCCTTTACACACCACTTCCTTCTGCTCAGGACCCAACTTACAAACAAGAAGTCAGGCATCAGATGTGCAAATCTCCATATACTTATTCTACGCACTGTTCTACACGGTAGGAGGGTGGGTGAGTTAAGTGGGTTGGAGCAAAAAAAAAAAAACACCAAAAAACAACAACAACAACAGAAAAACATTTCTTCCCCTTTTCCAGGTAGTGACCTAAAAAAAAAATTTTTTTAAATCCTCACCAGAGGATATGTTTTATTTTTTTAAAATTGAGTTTAGAGAGAGAAAAAAGGGAGAGAGAAACATTAGTGTGAGAGAGAAACATCAATTTGTTGCCTCCCATATGCGCCCCACTGGGTATATGCCCTGACCAGGAATTGAACCCACCACCTTTTGGTGCACAGAATGACACTCCAACCCGGCCAGAGGTTGGGTAGTGATCTAAGTGAAATGTTAACTCGGTCTGGTCCCCATCCTCCTCTCTTCCTGCACCCTCACCCTCTCCTATAGCCACATTCCACCTCTACAACATTCACAGTTCAGGGCCTAGGCGGACAGTCATAATCTATTGTTATTAATAACAGTTCACATTTATTAAACGTTCATGTGTCAGACACTGTGCTAAATGTTTCACATAAATTGTCTCATTTAATCTTCATAGCAACCATACAGTATATATATTGGATATATTATTACTCCCATTTTAAAGATGATGAAAACGAAGGCTCAGAGAAGATAAGTAAGGGGAGGGGGGTGTCCACACACAACTAAACCGTGGGCTTCAAAGCCTTCAATTAGTGCTGCCTTTATTGCCTGCTGGTCACATGAATGGTTAAAATGCAGCCTGTTACCCAGGAGATCTCTATCTGGGAACCTCCAGCCAGTGCCACAAATTCACAGGGAGCACCACAGAAGCAAGGACGGGGCTGTGCCTAGAGTCTGACACCTAGTGATGCTCCCAGAACTATTTCAACCCTCAGCAATGTCGATCCTTTCTCACTCTGAATCCTGTCTCTCAATCACTAACATTTTCACCCAGTGCTGACAGGACCCATGGGG